ATATTGAGGTGAAGTATCATTTTATACGTGAGAAGCTTTCTCAAGGTGAAGTCAAACTTGTTAAGATTCACACTGATAGGAATCCATCTGATGTGGGAACTAAAATTCTACCTGTAGGAACATTTAAATTATGCTTATCTTTGCTGCATATTGACACTTGTTGATTTTTCTTGCAGGTAGTGGGTGATAATGATGAACAATCCTTCCATGTACAATTTTGCAACCGAAAGAGTGTGTTACGAGAACTGAGGTGAAGAATGTGGGCTTATGTGGTTCTCCTAACACTTATGGGTTGGTTCTCGTAACACACTCTCTCGCAACCGAGAGAGTGTGTTATGAGAACCAAGGTGAAGAATGTGGGCTTACGTGATTCTTCTAACACTTATGGGCCGGTGCTAGTTGTGACATTTCTATTGTTACTTACCCTTTCTTATTGTTGCTTAAGTGGCATTTACTTATTGGTAGCATTAAGATGAGTCGGATTGTGTGCTTGTTTTGAACCATTTGTAGCCCTTGGATTTAATCTACAGTTGTGATTAAATCTTACCTTGATATTTTACTTGGGCCTTGGCTATTGAGAGAACTTCTTCCTCCTTCGAAGCTGCCCCCGTTTCTCTCTGTACAGCCGTTCTTCTTCCTCTTCTGGTGTACCCTAAAATTGACCTTGGTTAGCCTGTTGGTGGGAGATATACCTGTGTAGACTTAGGCCTGAAATAGTGGCCAAGTGTTGGTTCGTTCTCATGGGCTTAGGTCAGATTTTAGGGGTGTTCTTGGCTGCTATGGTAGATCCTTTTGGATCGATGACCTTAGTCAAGTTGTTGGAGACCTTAGCTGGTTCTTATCTCTCTCTGGACGGTGAATCGCATGGCGTGGAAGGCTGTTCCTGAGCCTAACATATTCCGCCGAAAATCAAAGGAAGAACTGGGTATCTCAACCAGAAAGGGAGGTAGCATTCTGTCTTGTTTATTTGTCTTGTTTCTATGGTGTTCTGTCTTCAGTTCTTTATGGTTTCTGTTGTCTGTTGATTAATATATATGCTATGCAAATGTTCGATCATTATGCTATATATTCTGTAAGTGAGAAGAATTTGATTTTGAGCCTATTAGAACTCTGTTAGCATTGGTTGGGAGTCTATATCATCCTGTAAATTCCTAACAATTAGTGATGACTTGTGCAAATCCAACTATTTGTATTGTTACACATCAATTTTTTAGAAAATTAGTCGTAATTGATTGTTTAACAAAAATAGAAAAGTGATGGTTCACAAGATCAAATTCAAATTAACTAATCAAGCTCGAAGAATACATCACACTTCTAAATTTGAAAGGTCTCAAAGGGTAACACGGTGACAATTAGTATACTAATGGAAGATACAGAACTTGTGTGAAAATATTCATAGGGTGGTGATACCTTAACAAGAACCCTTTTTTTTGGTTCTAATCCAACTTTACGACTTGGTTACCATGAATGCCTAGCACCCTTGATATGGTTTAGGCTTTTCCCTCATGAAAATTGTGCATGTACTCTAAACAGGCTCTTTTGTTGGATGACTCAGATTTCTTCACAAGCCACCATCCCACTTTACGCTCGCAGTCGAGGCGAGGTGACACATGTGAGTTTTTATAATGCGTGTATTTTGTGATTGTAATTGAATCCCAAAAGCATGGTGAAAGCGCCATCGAACAAACTGGGCCGTGCATACTTTCACTAGTTCACAAATGAAACAACAATTGACCACTCGACATGTTCGGAGAAATTCAATAGCTTCCAAAGGTGTCAAGTCGTTTTGTTTCCTACACAGAAGCTAAATTGGCAATGTGTGAGACTTACTAAGTTAATAATCTTAGTATTGTTTCAAAATAATTCTTTTTCTATTATTTTAAATAGGCTACTCTTTTTTGTAGAGACTACCTCGTCCACTGTATTTGAATTTGATTAAAATTTATTATCGTGCATGTGAACGAACTTGAAATAAATTATGGGAAAAATACACAGGACCCGGTGTTTCAAGATTACTGTTCATAAATCAGGTTCAAACTTTAATTAATCATAAATCAGGTAATAATTATATATTTTAATATTAATACTACAATTAATTCGTCCAATTCTCTATTCATTTTTCCATATCCTCTCTCTCTCTCTACCCTCTCCCTTCTCTCTATCTTCTCCTTCCCAAA